AACAGAATAAGCAGGCAATGCGATGCACAATGCAACCGCTCACTGACTGCTGGCCGCAGGCCGTGAATGGGCAGGTGAGCCAAACAAGCCACTTTGGGGGCTGGAAAACCTCATGGCTTTGTTTTTTCTTGTGCAAAACCACAGCCTGGAGCCTGGCAGTTATCCCGAATTCCCAGGGCTTGGGAGTGCTGCAGGGCTGATCCCTGCTTGTCTCTGGGCTCCAGCCCTCATTCACTGCCCCCTCCCAGTGCCTGCCCTCGGGAGTACCTGGCACACGCACACCCCTTGGGCTGGGGAGCATGTGGGGTGCCCTGCATGTGCTGGCTGGCTTCCCTGGAGTGGTGCAGGCTGGTTCCAAAGCGATGACGGGGGTGGACATGGCCATGAGGGTGTGGGGTTTGGCAGGGCACCGGCGAAGCCCCTCTGAGCAGGCGTAGGTGATGCGCTGCTTAGATGGCAGGGGCGTGCTTGGAGGCCAAAGTGTCCCTTGGCTCCTGAGGCTCCTCTGTCCGGAGGGCAGCGCTGGCAGAGCTGTGCTGAGGGCTGGGGCGCCAGCACAGCCACTCTGCCTGAGTGCCCTGGACCTTCCTTGTGGTGGAAGGATCCTGCCCCCACGGGGTCGGCCGCAGCAGGTCTGCGGTCCTGTGAGGGCCCTGTGCACTGTGGCGTGGCCAGATCCCAGCAGGGCAAGCTGCCAGTCTAGCTACTGGTGCTTTCCTCGTGCCTCAGTTTCCCCACCTGTAAGGAGCAGCCCTGGCCCACTCAGGACTGGCTGGCTGACTTTGGAGCTTGATATTTTCCTTAAAAAAAAAAAAAAAATCCGTGCCCAGGGCAACGTGCGAAGGGCGCTGAGTGCTCAGAGCCCCGGCAGGGCTGTCGCCTGTTCTTGCTGCATTGAACTTGCCTGGCTCCGAACCCAGTGTCCCGAACAGCATGGGACATGCTGTCCTGTGGGCATCGGTCCATCTGGACAGGGTGGTTTGCTAAACCTCTGGCAGTTGGTGTTGCTCCAAGGCAGCTTCAGACTGTGGCTGTGGGCAGAAGGCCCTGGTGAGGGACAGGGGGAGGAAGGGAAGGTTTGGCACCCCCATGCCACCATGCACAGCAGCAGAGCTCAGCTTCAGCAG